CTTCGGGCCGGCTGGGGCTCCGGCCCGACTCGCATCCCGCGCCCGGGCGAGAGCGGGAGGTCCGGGCGGCGGCAGAGCGCTCGGCGGCTCCCTTCAATCGGGCCTCGCGGGCGGGCGCGTTTGTGACGTCATGCAGGCGCCGGAAGTGCCTCCTGGAAGAGCCGTGGCGGCGGTGGCGGCGGTGGCGGCGTTCGTGTCGGTGTCCCGTGGTGCGCCGCGGCTGCTGTGTGTGCGGGTCCCGGAGTCGGTGAGAGCCTGTTCGTCCCCCGAGAGGTAATGGGGCGGGCGAGTGGGCCGGGTCACCCTGGGGAGCCGCGGCGCGCTTTCCGTGGGCGAAGCGCGTAGCCCTTCTGCCCTTGCGGTGTAGCGTGGAGGGGCGCGGTGAACTTTGGCAGAAGGGAAGGTATGGAGTGCGGGGAACCTTCCTTCCCAGCACCTCGTTACGCGGAAGATGTGGTGTGCTAGGTATCTGAATGACTGAGATCGGAAGGTCAGTAAAATGACTGTGTTCGACATACCCAGCTTCGTGTTAGGCTCGCTGGGAGGGAACCCCTTCCCCAAAATAAAAGTGCCCGGCGGACCTGTTTGTGGCGCAGATACAGACTGATGGGGAGACAGGCCAGGTTCGGGGAGAGGAGGGGGCTCTGTGGACAGGTACCGGATTTCTTGTCACCTTGTTTCTTTTTGTAAATCTACAACGGGCACATGGCTGCAACTTCTCCTTACAAGTGGTTGTAAGGGGCTTTTATTTGCACCCAAAAGTCAGAAAATAACGGAAGGTGGTTTATACCTACACCCGCCAGCTCGGACAGACCAAGCCTTTGAGTCCCCGCGAGTCTGCCCAGTCCGTGTAGCCAGGCCCGCGTGAAGCTTGAGCGAGCTCAGTGCCTGCGTGCTTGCCAAGGGCCGGCTGAGACTCGTGGCAAATTTGTGGCCAAGTTAACCCACCATGCTTCACGCCGCTGTTCCTTTTATTTCCTGCCCAAGTTGTAAATCCCCTTTGGTCTTTGCTACTTCTCCCTTTTTTCGGGGGTTATCACTACTTTCCGTTTTTATTTGCCTTCTCTCCATTCTTGAACTGTGCTTTTGCAAATTTCAGTCTCTGCCCAAAGTGTTCTATATTCAACCCTTTTACAGAATTTCTCTGACCTTAGCAAGTGACATGTTTTTTCCCTGGTAGCCCTTTCACTTGAGCTGTGTCGTCTAAGGCCTTGCCACTCTGAATGTGCCTGATTTCAATTGAGTCCTTTCTGTGACACCTACCGTGAAGGTTGGGTGTGGCACTATTTCTTTCAATACTGTTGTCCAATGTGTTTGCGAAGACTGTTTTCTCTATTTGACCCATACAATTCTCTCCTTCCTTTTTTTGAGTAATTACTCTTGCTAGCTGTGGCTTTATCAGAGGGTACCTCCCACCTTCCCACAGATAGTTACGGATCGTTGCCATCCGCAGATGTCCTTTATCTATGGTGCTGATCACATGCAGACCTGCTTGCCTCTGCCTTCCCTCCAGAGCTAGGCTGTGGGGTGGGAGGACTATTTGCCTTGCTGTCTTTGGAACTCCAGTGTCTTAATTCAGTTGCTGGCACTTTATAGACTCGTTGGCATTTCTTCAAAGAGTGCAGCAGGTGAAGGTGTGGTTTCAGCGTTCAAGAGAAGCAGCAAGGTGCGTGTTTACCTGTGGATAGGTCACTAATTTACAGCTCATTTGGCTTGTGAGAATATAATTCTAGGGTTGCCAGAACATCTTAATTTGCAGTAGAAAAGCTAGAAAGTTTTTAAAACAAACAGGATTATCTCCTAGTTTTTAAATGTTATGAATGGAATATTTTTTTAGTGAGTGAGACAGAAGTCACCTGTGGTCCATCACTCACCTGTTTGGAATCTGCCTTGAGCATTGTGAGCTTTAGAGAATGGGATTTTGTGTAGAAAGAAGTTGAATAAAATAATGGAAAGAAGTATTTTGATTTTGAATGTGTAACTTAACATTCATCTGTGACTCTTCCCTTCTCTTTCTCTCTTTCTGTTCTACTCTCAACTAAAACTTTTTTTTGGTTTGTTCGAGACAGGGTCTCTCCCTATGTAGTTTAGGCCAGCCTTGAACTCAGTATGTAGTCCAGACTGACCTCAAACCTGTGGTGCTTTTCCAGCCTCTGCCTCTGGAGTGGTTGGACTAAACGTATGTGCCACCTCTCCTAAACTAAAAATATTCTTAAAACATTGAAAAGTCAGAGACTTGTGAAAGACTGGTGGTGTATCTAGTTTGCGTAACATGAAATAGTAGTTGTATCACTTTGCCTTTGGATTGACAGTGTGATTTGAGAGAAGGACCCTGCCTGTGGCTTTTGTTTTCTGTGTGTCCTGGTCACTTTTAGTTAGACTGCCAGTTCTGTCTTCTTAGCTCATAATAATGGTTTGGGTTTGCTCAGTGGAATGTTTTTAAAAAAGCTTATTTTCTTTCTGAACTAAAATCCATGGTGATATTTTAAACATACCATCTTTATTGATTACAATGTTAGAGGAGAAGGACTTTTATAATTTGGAGCCGGTTACAGGTGCAGGTGTTTTTCTTTTCTTTCTTCCTGTGTGTGTGTGTATTGTTTTCTATATGTTTTTTTGAGGCAGGGTCTGCCTTTGTAGTTCAGGATGACTTTGAATTCACTTTGTAAATCCCAGGCTGGTTTCATTAAGATCCTCCTGTTCAGCTTCCTTGACATTGGGATTACAGGCATAGGTCACTATGCCTGGTTTGTGCTTGTTTTTGATACAAGGCCTTGCTGTGTATATAGCAGAATCCAGACTAGGCTGGTCTGGAACTCTTATGTAGCCTGAGTTTGCCTCCTACTTATGATCCTCCTACCTCAGCCTTCTGAGTAGCTTGGGTTACATGTGCCTAGGCTGGCTTCAGATTTGCAGCCTGCCTTCCTCAGCCTCCCAAGCAGCTGGCTTTACAGGCAGGTACCACTCTAAGGCACTCTTCTAAGTGAAATTTGAGTGCTTGCTTTGGCAGCATATATGCTAAATGCAACTTGAATTCTAATTCTGTTGTCTGCATAATTATGATGTAGAAGGCTTTTGCATTTTCCTATTGTGTTCTTCATTTTGCATATCCAATTAGTTAGAGAACTTTACTGGACTGTTTTTGAGACTCCAGTAATGGAAGGAGAGTTACCGAAGTGTTAACATGGGAAGAGGCATGATCACCCCCCGGGAGTCAGAGTACCTTGGTACAAATACAGCTGATTGGTTTTGGTGTGGGCCTATGGTTTTGTGCTGGACTGAGTTTCTAAGTCTCAATAATGGCATATCCAGCAGCATACTCCGCTAATCAGAATTGTTGTACTTGAGAGCTTTTTTCTTTTGTATTTAATGAACTCTAAATTTTACTTTGTTTTAGCAGTGTAAGGTTGCATATAGAGTTTTCTCACTTATCCTGCTTTTCCTCGTTATAAATTTCTGAATGATGAGGGATATTCAATAATTTGGCATGGTCCTCACTAGGACTGTTTGATGTTTGAGTTTTTCTACCAGTGGATACCAGTCATCTGACCAAACCCATAATTCTACCATCATAATGTGTTCTGTCTTTCTATTCTGCAGTATTAAGAGAAAGTTATATGAGTTATATCCCTAGCCTATATTCATATTTTTTATTCTGAAACTATAGTAATTTAGATAAAAAATTCTGATATTGCTGTTTTGTAAAAGCAGTAGGTAGAGTAATCTAAAAACTAAAGATTGTGTAAAGATGTTCAGTATTTTTTTCCTTTTTAAAAATTGTGTATTGGTACAATTCAGATGTACATAACAATCAAATAGATCATAGTGAATTTGTACCTGTATAAGATATATCTTGATTCCTTTTTTTGTTTGTTTGTTTGTTTTTTTTGTTTGTTTGTTTTTCTCCGGTACCGGGAACCGAACTCACGACCTTGCGCTTGCCAGGCAGGCGCTTTTGCCGCTGAGCTAAATCCCCAGCCCCTTGATTCCTTTTTTTAGTTAAATATTTTCTGTATTCAACTGGAAGAGATTGTTTATTTATTTATTCATTTATTTATTTTTTATCTCAAAGAAACAGAAAAAAGAAGTAAAAACAATTCCAAACAATATGATAGGGAGGGTAACAATGGTAACTACCTTGCATATTGTTATCTTTAAATTAATTACTCAGTATATGAGCATTTAATTGTTCAAACAGTATTAGCACAGACCTATCTTTTCAGTGAACTGAAATCAGTAGTATAACTGATTGGTTTTGGCAATCAGTTTAATTTAGCAATTAACTATCTTTTATATATATATTTTTTCTTTTGTTTTTCCCTTCCTTTTTTTCCCCACCCCTAAACCAGTTTCTCTTTACTTTTGAAGTTTCTTCCCATTTTACAATATCTATTGTACATTTTAGATCACATTTCGGCTTCTCACACTAGGGAGACAATACTGTGTTTGCACATGTGTGTTAGATTTATTTCACTTACGAGTATGGACTTAAGTTGCCTCCATTTACCTATGAAAGTCTCCAGTTTATCCTTTTTTTACGGCTGAGTAATACTCCATTATATAAAAAGACCATGTCTTTTGTATCTATTCCTTGGTTGATGGGCATTTGGGTTGTTTCCAAGATCTAGCAATTACAAATTGTGGCGCTACAAACATGGGTGCACATATATTGCTGTGGTATAGTGTTTTTAATTCTTTCGGGAAGATACCCAGAAGGGGAATAGCTGGGTTGAATGGGACTTCTAATCCTAGTTTTTTGGGGAATCTCCACACTGATGTCCACAGTGGTTACATGACTCTACATTCCCCGCAATAGTGGCGAAGGGTTCCTTTTCCCCCATAGCCTCTCCAGCATTTGTTATTAGTTCATTTCTTGGTGATAGCCATTCTTTGTTATTTTTGAGACAGGGTCTCCCTATGCAGTTCCGGCTTGTCTTGAGCTCACTTTGTAGCCCAGGCTGGTTTTGAACTTGCAGTGATCCTCCTGCCTCAGCCTGCTGAGTGCTGGGATTACAGGTGTGTGCCACCATGCTTGGTGATAGCCATTCTTTGCAGGGTGAAATGTAATCTCAGTGTTGTTTTAATTTACATTTCTCGAATGACCGGTCATGTTGAACATTTTTTCATATATTTATTTGCTGTTTGTATTTCTTTGTCTGAAAAGTGTGTATTCGTCTCTGATGCTCATTTTTGGGTTGGGTTTTTATATTTGGGAGGTGTGGTTTTTTTTGTTTTTTTTTTGTTTTTTTTTTAGTTCTGTATATGTTCCTGGTAGTAAACCTTTAGAGATTAAGTTTCAAAAATGAAATAGTTGATTATAGGAGATTATTTAAAGCCTAACCTAAAACAGCATATTTACAGAGACATTAGCATTTTGTACTTATCATGTATAGAAATTGAAAATATAAATTAAGGTCTTTGAAAAGTGTAAACATGTAAAGAATGTTTATTAAACGTTTTAACTAGCATCTGATTTCTGTAGCTCCTCATAAGGTGAATACTCTATCAGGTAGTGGAGTCACAGATACATAGTTGTTCTAGGATTAATGGTAGGAGATAATCTGTAGTTGTTTCATGGATACTGTTTGTTTCATATAGAGATTAAGTTCATTATACAGAAGTATTTGCCAAAGTGATTGTTAGATTTTAGCAAACTGAGTACACTTTATTATGTGGTTGAAATCTTGATGTCAGATAAATTTTATGTTTTGGGTTTTCTAAAAAGTTTTTATTGTGATAAAATATACATGAAGTTTATCATTTTATGGAGACTAAAAAAGGTGATACAAAGAATCAGTGAATCAAAGAGCTAGTTCTTTGAAAGAATAAACAAAATAGATAAACCGTTAGCCAGTCTTAGCAAAAAAGACCCAAATCATTGCAGTTACAAGTGAAAAAGCTAGCTGGGAGTAGTAGCATATACCAGAAATCCCAGCACTTGGGAGGCAGAGGCAAGAAGATCACCAAGCATTCGAGGCCAGCCAGTGCTACATAGGGAGACCCTGTCTCCCTATGTAGAAAAAGAAATGAAAAAGCTGAACTGACAGTGGACACTGCCAAAATCCAGAAGATTATTAGCAACTATTTTGCAAACCTGTACACCAGTAAATTTGAGAACTCAAGACATGGACAGATTCCTAGGTACATACATATAAGTTACCAGAACTGAACTATGAAGATATAAAAACCCTGAATAATTGAATAGCAGGCAATGAAATTAAAGCAGTCTTAAAACAACTTACTAAGAAAAGTCCAAATGCTGTTGGATTCTGTGCTGAACTCTACAGGAATTTCAGGTAAGATCTAACACTAATGCTGCTGAAACTCTTTAATGAAATTGAAAGAGCAGGGCTACTGCTAAACTTACTCATCGAAGCCAGCATTGCCCTGATTCCAAAAGCGACAAGAATCCAACCAAAAGAGAGAATTATAGCACAATGTCCTTAATTTTCACAGATGCAAAAGTCCTCAACAAGATACTGGTAAACAGAATGCAGTGTCACCTAAAAGGTCGTTCCTCATGACCAAGTCAGCTTCATCCTAGAGATGCAAGAATGGTTCAACATTTGCAAACCAGTAAATGTAATACTGTACATCACGTAAATATCAGAGGTCCCAGAATCCCTTGATCATCTCAGTAGATGCAGAAAAAGCCTGTCACAAACTCCCAATATCCTCTTATGATAAAAGTCCTGAAGAAAGTAGTGGTAGAAGGACTTCACAATCTGATAAAAGCAACTTATGACACACCAATGTCCAGCATCATACAAAATGGGAAAAAACTGGAAACTTTCCTCTAAGGTGAGGAATGAGATACGAATGTCCACTATCACTGTTCCTGTTTAGTATAGTTGTTGGAATGTTAGCCAGAGCAGTCGGGTGAGAAGAGGAAGGGAATATACATAGAAAAGGAAGAAATCAAACTAACATTTGCAGACAACGTGATCTTTTACCTGGAAGACCCAAAAAATTCCGCCAAAAGACTCCTAGAATTTACAGTAATAACCAAAGTTGGCAATGTAGGACGATGCAAAATCAGCACACTAAAATCAGTAGTGTTCTTATATACCAATCATGAGCTCACTGAGAAAGAAACTAAGAAAAAAGAATCATTCGTAATGGCATGAAGAAAAATTAAATAGTTAAGAATTAACCTAATCAAGGAAGTAAAAGACCTCTACAATGAAACTGTAGTACAGGACTCTGAAAAAGGAGATCATAAGAGTCGCTATGGTGGTGCATGCCTGTAATCCCAGCACTGTGGAGGCTGAGGCAGGAGGATCATTGGGAGTTTGCAACCAGCGTGGGCTGCATATTGAGACCCTGTCTCAAAAAAGTTCCCTATTCCTGGATAGGCAGAACCAATATAGTCAAAGTGACCACACTCCCCAAACTGATATACAGACCTAATGCAGTCCCAACCAAAATGTCAGCAACATTCCTCACAGAACTAGCGAAAACTACCCTACAATTCATGTGGCACCCGAAGAACCTGGAATAGCAAAAACAGTGCTGGGTTACAAGGGCAAACCAGGGTGCATCACAATCTCAGATTTCCAGTTACAGACCGCAGTGATGAGAACAGCTTGGTACTGGGGCAGAAACAGACAGGTGGGTCTGTGAGACAGAGTGGAGGACACAGAAGCAACCCCAGCCACATTCAGCTGTTTGCTCTTTGATGTAGGGGCCAAAACCACGCACTGGCAGAAAGATAGCGTCTTTAGCAAGTGGTGCTTGGAAAGCTGGCTGCGTACATGTAGAAGAGAGACAGTGTAAGACCAGCCCTGACCGAGACCCACCCTGTGGTGTAATGACCCCTGTGCCTTGTGCTGTGCTCATTCTTCTCTTTGTGCATTGTTCACCTTGTCTGTGGCCTGTGCAGTTCCTGTTTGTATCTGTTCTTGCAGCTGTGTAGCCTTGGTTTGTGTAGTGTCGCATTCACCCTGTACCCTGAACGTGTCAGCTCTCAAAAGAGGAAGCGTATCTTACTTGACGAAAAAAATATACTCTCTTGTCTGTCCAACATGAATAATGCTGACAAATTATATGTTTTAAAATTTTATTTTTATTTTTGTTTCTTAAATTCTATTTTAGTTTCAAAATTTATTAGGATGCTTTTGCATTAAAATAAATTTATAGCATTAACACTATGAAGAGTGTTTTTCCAGGGAGCACTGTGATTTATTTTTGGGTCTGTTGGCTCTATATTGATAGGATTGCTCATTTAACACTTTTCTCCAATTAAAACTACTTTGTTGAACATGTAGACAGCAGGTGTAAGCTCTAAGAATGCAGAGAAGGAAAAAACTAACACAAACCACTTAACAGGAAATAGGAGCAGTTTTGTCAGCTCATCCCTCAAACTGTGCAATGAATGGAATTACTGTTTTCCTTGCACGAGAGTGGAGAAGTGCATGTGGTCTTTGACTCCTCTTCCAGGACTTGTTGGGAAGGATATCTTAGATGCTTTAAATTACCCTGTAGGTAGAAGGAAGGTGGAGATTGGCTCTGGGGAAGCGCTCGGACTGATTCAAAGCTCGGGGTTCTAAGGACACCCGAGGCGGTGACCCTGTTTGCCGTGTGCAGGCGCACAGAGGGGTACAGTTGTGTAGTCGTGACTTAGCGCAGGGACGCACACGCGCTGACTGTGGCGCTGAGCACGCTGTGGTATGAGATAGCAGCCTGTAGAAGAATCACACAGTGACGACGCTGGCGGCTCTGCTCTTGCACTGTGGCTGTGGCTCTCTCCTCTGCTCCACCCTGCCTGCCGTAGTTGCTGTTTTTCACACCTGTGTTTTTTTATCCTTTGGTCCTCACCTTGGGAAATCTCGCTGGGCCCCTGAAGGGGCGGACACTGGGGCTTTATTTATTTATGTAATTATTTAATAAAACTTGTTTGGAAGATCACATTTTCTCTTTTTGATCACTTACTTTTTTTTTCTACTTAAGGCCGGTTTGTGTTGAAAACTAGTCATGTACTTCTCTGTTACCTCCTAATAACAGAAAAACCATAGCTTTTGGTTTTCTTTCTCTAGTGGCTGAGAGAAGAAATGAGATGTGGTCTGAGGGA